AGAAAGCATCAGAAGTGAGAGTCTCTCTGTCATCACAAAACAAGAAGTGCTTCTACAGATTTGATGCCAAGTAACCCCATGCTGCTACAAAGGTCAAAGCCAGTGGCTGCAATGCAGGGTCCTGTCCCCTTTACAGGGTTAGTCCCATCTGGGCAGATGTGGAAAGGACACACCATCCTGTTAAGTTGTCCTCTTACACCAAGGGTAACAGCTGGAACAACCATTTGACAAACAAAAATACACATGGAAAAGGCCAGAAGCCTGGGAGATAACATAGAAGAAAGCAGCTAAACAGGTACATTCAGCAGAGCTGAGTTACCCATTTTTCCATTCCTCCACCCTGTCATGAAACAGGCCAAGGACAGCTCTCTGCCCCTGAGCGCACTGCACTCAGGCACACCCTTGCACAGCAATAACTCGGGAGCATTCATCACTCCTCATCACTTACTCCTTGACTCAAGACTTGCCCCTTCTGGGATTTCCTTTAAGTCATTCTTCACATGACAGCAGTTTCTGCAAGTCCGTGAGGAGTCCCAAGTGGTGGGTCCTTGTGAAGTATTTGTCCACAATGTTAACACTGAGACAGCTTCAACAAACTTTAAGAGAACCTCTGATACATTAAAGATCAACACAGCATTCTGCTGAATGAGTCCCACAATCTGGCAGTGCTCCTTCCAACATCAATATCAATTTCCTCCATCAACAGGAGGCAGAATAATAGCAACTTCCTCTGTACAATACAGCCCTTCATTGTCCCACATCAAATACTGGCTCCCAGAAGCTACTCATGCTGCTCTACAGGTAACTATGTTCTAGACAAGATGCAACAACTTTTATCAGCAAATGTTAAATGCAGCAAGAAGGCCAGAAGGCCTGTATCAGGACTGCTAATAACCTTATTAGCATCACTGCTCTGGCTCTAATGAAACACCCAAAGCACTGCCGAGAACGGCACAGGTACTCCAGTGACCAGAAAACATTTGCAAGGTCTTGCTCATCTGAGAGGCAGCAAATCCACAGAACCACTGTCAGATCAGGTTTTTTTCCCCTTTGTATCAGCTCCACTATGCCTCTGATTCCCCTCTTAATGACAAAGTCTTCATTGATTTCAGCAAAACTCAGCAAGACTGAGCAGAAAATGAACTAAAGAGGGAAATGTCAAGTGAGTCATTAGTGGGTAGAGAAAAGCAGGGTGTAGTAAGTAGTCTTCAACATACTTCTCCTCCTTTAAAATAAACAATGCCACAAATTTCGTTGACATTTGTGAAGATGGAGCAGTAACAATCCCTGCACAGTCTGCAGGAGTGATGAATTCCTCCACTAAAAGAGGTTACTTATGCCAAATGCCAATAAATACACAGATAAAATTAATCTGCTTGTTTGGAAATCTCTAGATGGGAGCTCAGATCTTAAATGCAAAATCAGACTCAGAGAGACACAATCAAACCAGCACCAAATGAGAACGTTTTTCCCAACTTCCAACAGCAACCTGGTCTAGTGAAAGGTGTGCCTACTGATGGCAAGGAGGGTTGGAGCTAGAGGATCTTTGAGGTCCCTTCCAACCCAAACTGTTCTGATTCTATGATTAGCCAGAGCAAGCACAGTCCCACAATCTTTCTAACTCTGTTACAGCACAAGTGCGTTCTCTTTAGAACATCCTTTGGTGAGTATTTTCGTGCACTCATCTCTGATTCCATTTGCCTGGGTTACCACCACGCAGCCCTTTTTCCTAGGTCTGGTTACTAGAGCAACAGATTATGTTTTGGATTTGGTAGCAACATATTGCAGGCACCAAAAAAAATCTGCTATTAGCTCAAGAAACATGAAACTACAAGTCAGCAGCCCATGCCACAGAGGAATCCTCCTGTAATATCTCACTCATCTCTCTAATTATGAAACTTTATGAATCTCCACCTCCTTGGCAGAACATAAGCCCAAGCAACCTCTGCCTCAAAGGATGCACAAGAGAGGTGCACTGCCCACAACCTCCTGTGTGCTTGTCACTGCAGAGAAACCACATGACAGATTTAATGGACTTCATAGCCAGAAAAATATTATATTCTACAGATGCTACTACTTGCATTAACCATTAAAGTCAAAGCACAACTTTAAATTCCATGTGGTGTCACATCTGCATTAGTCTGCACACACATTAATATAAAAAGAAGGTGCTTTTGGGGGCAGTGTTCTTGGGGTTTGGATTTTTTTTTAATAACCAGGAGTCTTCCTGTATTGTCATTTCACTGTAAAGTGACTGTATTAGATATTGTTACTCCACTTAACTCCTGTACAACTCAGAAGGAGGAAAAAAAGCCCTCTCACTGCACAAAGTTATTTCTAATTCACTGCCTTGGGACACAAGGGTTTTTGTTGTCGAGGTGAACAATGACAAGTCCTTAGCTGTCAGGTTTCTTCCTCCCAGCCACAATACAGCCCAATGCAGCACCTACGTACTCGATATAAGCAGTGAACTAAAGACAGCACGAACTGGTCAATCCGATCATTTCTCAGCCACAGCCAGCCATTACAGAAAGTTCAGTCAGACTATTATCACTGCTATTAATAAGTTTTTATCCTGAGAGAACGATCTATGCCAGATTTGCTCCTAATTTCAACTGCGGGAACTTACTCAAAAACATTTTATCTGGTCACACACAGTGTAGCCCCCACTGAGTGGGTGTGCTATTATGAGAAAGCAAACTGATATAAATATAGCACAGTGACAGTATCCACTCTGCAGTTACTTCCTCTGCAAAACAGAGCAGAATGAAGTGGGTAAGATGCTCAGCCAGCTTTCTGCTAAGGCCACTGAAAACTGCATTGATGACACCAACAAAAATAATCAGTTAAAGACAAATCTGATCAAATAATTCTCAAACAACACTTAAACTGAGGAATTTGACCTCCTCTCAAGTATCCACAAACATAAGATGACATTTCCATTACTTTCTTCTCCATTTATATTCATTTGTGGAATAGATTTTTTCCTGTTAGCTTTTATTTTCACTAGCCAAATTGACTGTAGGTTGATGTAAGAATTAATCATCCAATATCTGAAACTCAACTTGTGACAGATAGGTTAGGACAGGGCAGATATTAAACCTCATTGCTGGTTGAGTGTGCACACACATCCACTCTTATGCAATCCATAATTCATATGTAGAAATTCAGATTATGATTTTGATAGCTAAAGCCAGAAAGCAAACAACCCAAAAATGCTTGTTTTCTTTTTTTTTTTTTTAAACTCTACCTGTAGAAAGGAACATGATCAGAAACATATCTCTGCAGGAAAAATAATAAAGCAGCATATAGTAAGCAGAAATCATTTTCTGGCAGTATTTTCCCAGCTACAGTTGAACTGCCAACTTTAAAGATGTTATTTTAGCATACAAGATGAATGTATCTCAGGAACAAAAAGAATCACTCTCCCTAATCCTCCTCTCATGCACCCTCCTGCAGTCTGTTCTCAGACATGAAGTATTGCTTAAAAATGCCCATGGAACAGACTGAAAGAAGTTGCTACTTCTCTATATAGTTATTTATAATAGATAATCTTTAGATAGATAATCTTAGAATCACTCTTAATTCCAGCTCATCATTTATGGTGTTGGCAGAGTTGCTCCAGTGAATTTAGTCTCATTATTCACCTTTGGGTTCTTGTATTTTATATATCACCTTTTTTTATCCAGTGGATCCCTTGCGAGCACTTACAGAACCAAGTGAAGGTGAATAACGATCCAAGGACAAGGCTCAATGGTGAAATACTATGATTTTATGGCCAGTTACAGAAAAACATGGACACACTTTGAATAGGGAGATGAACCTCTTGAAGTGAAGTAGCAATACATCCAGGAATACCATAGCAATAGGCTTTCCAATAGGCTTCTACCCCATCCCAAGACACTGAACTTCATCCAAAGTCAACAGGAGTGTTCAGTTTTGCTGTCGATGGCCACTCCCAGCTGCATTCAGTTACACTTGGGAACTTGCTACAAAAGTCTTTGGAAAAAACCCAAAGAGTAATGGGATCATCCATTAAGTCGAAAGTCACGTCAAGACAGTGATGATGGGACAAGTGCACAGTTTTGGTTACTAGAAACTATGTTAACAAGTGTAGAAGGGTCTCATTAATGGCAGGACACACTTCACGGATTTGTTGCATTGGAGCAATTTATCTACTGACAAGTCCTGCAGAAAGAAGAATGAGCCAAGCTGGCAGGTTTTTTTAAAGAACAACTTCACCCACAGCATCCTCTTTAAACCTGTTGGGAGTGGGAACAACTGCTGAAACCCACAAGCACTTTACCCCAATAACAGAGATGTTTCACTGGGTAACCAAAGCCAAATTTCATAGCTTAACCACCTGAAAGAATTTTGCAATGTGATCACCAGAAACTACTTCAGGCTCATTGTATCTCAAAATAGACCTCATCAGCTTCCGCATCCCATTCCATTACAGGGATCACATTATCAAGGGTCCTGCCACAGCATCCTGGGTCACAGCACCCGAGCCTTAACAGGCACTTCCTTGCTAAAATGTGACAGTGGGAGTGACAAGACATGCGTGTTCTCTCAGTCTCCTTATATTGCAGTGACCACTCAGACATGTGCTTTGGAACAGGAACAGAACTAGGGTATCTTGGGGGGGGGGAAAACCCCACCTCAATCATCACCACACATACCACTTGAAAATTTTTCAGCCAAAACTCAACAGTTAAGTCACCAATATCTGAATTTAAAGCAATCTGGGCAATCACAACAGCAGGAGTAAGCATCTTCCTAACCATCCAGTAATAATCACCATGGCCATCAACCTTTACCATTGCTACAAAATGAGCAAACATCAGTGTATTTCCCTGCTGCTTGATATAGGGCCCTGTGCCAAGTTGCCTTCACAAGCACAGCAGCACACGGAGAAGAGACCTCGAGGCATCCCTTCCACTGGCATCAAACAGCAAACAAGAGGGAAAGCCTTCAGTGAGAAGCTCAGAGAGCCTTACCTATGTACAGGGAGGAATCTTTCCGCCTCACGTGGTCGTCGATGTAGGAAACTCCCAGGGGCTGGACAGGGGTAGCACCAATGCCCAGGAGGACCTGTGCTCCAATGAGCAGCAAGTACATCATGTTGGTAGCAGTTCTATTCCTGCAGATAAGGTCCGGGTCTGGTCCCTCATCGCTGGAGGACCCGTTGACAGCACACACATCCCTCCCTTCAGCCCCCCAGCGTATTTCTCCCGACTCATATTCGTACTGATGGGTCAGAAATTCAGGCAATGCGGAAAGGAGGGCACCCAAGGCCATGACTATCCCTCCACATCCTATTAAGCGTGGTCGGTGTCCTCGGGCTCCGAAGTAGCTCACGAAGAGGATGAGGGCCAGGTTGCCGATCTCGAAGCTGCTGGCAATGACGCCCACGTCAGCACTCTGAAGGTTGAATCGCCGCTCCAAGGTGGTTAAAACACTCACCTACAACAGAGAAATACAGAGAAGATTACTGAAAGGGAGTATGACCTGCCTTTTGCCCTCCCCATATGTACTGCTAAAGTGTAAATTTCCTTGACTTTTCCTTGGAGCCGAAAACATACACATCAAGGGCATCCAAATCACAGTATAGTAGTTGACCTCCAAGCATGACCTGACTACTCAAATACAGCCACATCAGAAGGTCCTAATACCAAGTGACATTTCCCAGCCTACCACCTGTCTGAGCACATGTCCATTTCCAAATTCCTGCATCCATCAATGTATATTTTGGATGCCTGCAGACACCCCCGACTCCATGATTGGTTAGCCTTTCTTTGGGCTCGCTTTCTATTTGAAGGCACAACATTCACAGTGCGCTGTCCCACAGAATCAAGGCACAAACCACACCATGCCAGGCACTCAGCCTTCCCTTTGGAAGGAATTGCAGTTAGGGAGCAACAGACAACCCTGTGGATACTTTGTTTGCACACCAGCACAAGTCAGCTGGAGACAGTGACGTAAAAATACGCAGTTTGGTTGGCACAGAAAGCTGCTACTAAAGTATATAAATAAAATGCTGATCAAAGGGTTTAAACTGTTTGTGGATTAGTTAATGACTGGAATCGTCACAGAGTATTTTTGAGAAGACAGGCCAATTAAGGTTTACATAGAAGATTTAAATCCACCATGAAGAAGAGGTGATTTAACAAATATGGGTTATTTAACATTAAGAAGAGAGAAGCACATGAATAGTCCTCAAATATTTAACATTGCTGCGAAAAGGAATGACCTGTTCTTTGAATTCAAATGGACAGGACAAGAAGTGACAAGTTTAAACTGCAGTAGAGATGATTCCGGTTAAATACAAGGTGGGGAGACTTTTACTGGTAAGGATTCTGAGGCACTGAAACATGCTGCCTGGAGAAGCTGCAGAGGCCTTTAAAAGAACACAGACCAGCATCTGTCAGGAAAGACACAGGTATGACTGATCTTGCCATAGGGCAGGAAAATGAACCAGATCATCTCTTGAGAGCTCTTCCAATCTTGATTACATGGTGCAATGAAACACAATGTGGATTTTCTGCAACAGTCATAGCACTGATCAGAGCATGAAGGATGAACCATTAGGTACCTCACTTGCTGTCAGGCCTGCTCAAGGGAAAACACAGGGCATTCTCATGTCTATGGCAGTGTGCCTCTTATACAGTAAAAAAAACCCAAAACCAACAAAAGAAATCTTGGACGTCACAGAAATGCCAAAAACTTTTACCTTTACTAAAAAAACTATCTAGTTTTTCAGACTGGAAAAGATGAAGATATTTAAGGTTGTCCTAAAAGAGGCAGGTTTCTCTATTCCAAAAAAAATGTGAAAAAGACCTCAGAGCAGAAGGTAGCCCCTGGATAGAATAAAAATAGCCTCCCACTGGAGGCACTGAAAATCTTTGCTGATAAACCTCACGAAGCAGGAGCCAGTCTGACCGACTTTAAAGTATTCTGACAGCAGCTCTTCTCCGGGGGCAGTTAGCCTCTGCTAGGGTACACCAGGGCACAGTTGGACAAAGACAGCCCTGTCGGCAACAAAATAGGAAATGGAAACAACCCACTTCTGCTGCTTTGCATAAGCAGGAGCTCCCAAACCTGACTCTGGTAAGTGTCCAAGTCAGATCTCCAAAACTGGACTGTTGTAATGTTTTCTGAAAATTCAGCCTTCTTCTCATACAGGCTGTTATTTTATACTACTACTGTAATCCTCCCCCACTGCAGAGCCAAGAACTAAGGAAGGAAAGGAGGAAAAACCTAAAAATTGAACCCTCTGACTGAAGGCAGTGCAAGAGCAATAATTCTTCCCACACCAAAGCCAAGTGAGCATGTGCGTGTCAAAGGCAGAAGGGATCACCACTTCACCTGCAACACCAGGTGCAGGTCCCTGTTGGGATGAAACAGCTCTGTGATTCATGGGGGAAAATGATGTTCTCTGCACGAGGGCACAGCACAGCCTGTCCCCGCTCCAGCCACCTCAGCCACGCGAGCAGTGCTCGAGCTCACACCTATAACAGGGACATTGCTGCTCCCACAACTCCACGGGAGCTGTGGCAGAGCAGAGCAGGTGGGGATGGACACTTCTAGAAAACACTGGGTTGGTATTTTCAAAACAAGGCACACCAAGGAGGAGGGATACAGACAACATCCCACTGCCTCAGGCAGTCCCACCAGGCACTCATGTGACAGAGAACCACAGAATGGTTTGGTTTGAAAGGGACCTTAAAGATCATCTAGTTCCAGACCCTTCGCTGTGGGTAAGGATTTATCACCCACAACACAGGACTGCTTTTACTGCAAGGCATGATCTAATGGTGGTGCAGTCAGACTGGTGGGACTTCTGGCCTGAACAGCACACAGCAAACACCAAACTTTAAACAATGCAAAGCCCTGGCAAGGGGAACCCTCCTTTATGCTACCACCTCCAGCACGTCCCTAGAGGAACTCAGCTATAGCTAGGGTCCCATGAACACCAATTTTGGCAGAATGGGGAATCTCTCCAAGATGAATATGTAACTCTGACCATGCAAAATCATGTCTGTGGTGCTCATTTCTGAGCTGTACCTAGATAGGAAACTCATGATTACTCATTACAGCTGTGTAAACTGAGGTAGAGAGCCAACTATTAATGAGACAAGTACAGTAAACAAAATTAATTTCTGATGGAATAATTTAGGCTGGAAGACTGAAAGCCAACAGAAGTGATTTCCCAAGGCCAACTGGTATTAACTAGCTTTGGATGTCTCCCACATTTTGACCTGGCTGCCAAATTTTAGGCTTTTACCATACATATATATAAGTGGCTAGAAAGTGGGATAGCGTTTAGAAACACATGGGTGCCAAGCCTCAGAAGGGTCAGATTCTGGACAGCTGGATTCCAGATAAAAATACTGCACCATTTTTAAGTGCAATTCACAGTGACAGAGACAGTAAATTGGTGACAAACCTGGGAACTAAACCCAGAGTCCCAATTCTCATTTCGCTGTTATTTCAGTGGGACTTCAGTAGTTCTTTTCCTTTTTACAAAACCTAAACCACTCAAAACAGGGAAAAAGAGTCTCACCATCCCCTAGCACTTTCTTGCTTTACTTTGGTGAAGAGCCTGAAATAAAATGAGGAGGAGGAGGATGACAACACAAAGCAAACTCCAACCCTCCTGATAAAAGCTAGGAGTTGTCCTTAATCTTTTGGCCAGACCACACTGCATTTCCCAGTTTGCTCCTTCTGACTGTAGCACTGCTACCTGGTGGTACCAGCTCTTTACTAAGTGGGTTATGAGGAGCAGGAGGGTATGGTGAAAGAACAAATCCATCATACCATCCTTGAGCATCCAGAGAGAAAGAGCATCTAAGTACAAAGTGCTGAGACCAGCATCAGGAGAGTAGCCTCAAAACACTGACAAGTCACAGCGAGGGGAAAAAACCCCACCTAAATCCCAAAATAAAAATAGTGCTGGGAAATAAACTGTCAACGTGCAGATTTTTAGCCAGAGAACAACAGGAACACAACTGCATTACATTCAGGGTGGCTGCAGCCCAGAGAGCACAGCCCAAATTTCTCCTATGACATTGGCTCTGACCTTACAAAGACCAACTACAAAATCAGCATTAGCACAGCAGAGATGTTACCTGCATTTATTCAAAATGAGCACCTGCCCATGGCTAGCATCATTCTCTCACCCTCTATGCTCCATCCTGATAGGACTTCCTGCATATGAGGTAGAACCTGACTAAATACCTTCAGTTTCCATGTGGGATTCTCCTGGTGCTCTTGTAACTGTGAAATAAAAGAGCACTGTACTGCCCATATTTCCTTTCAAGAGCCTGCTCCCCAGCAGATCAGCCATCACTGCTCCCAAACACCAGCTCTCTTTATCGAGAGTTACATAAAATGTTGCAAATGACACAGGTCCCTGTAACATACTGAGGTCATGTGAAAAGGCTGTAAGGATTACAGAGTCCCTGGGTGCTGAGATCAGGTTGATCATTCAAGAGCACAGCCCTTGTGGATGCTGGTTTAATAGCAGGGATGCAGGGAATGGAGTGGTGTGGCAGCACAGCGGCTTCAGATGGACAACCTCCTGCTACAACACAGCGGGAAACACCGGGAGCACACGTTATTAGCTGTGAAGCTGCTGTTTCCCGGCTCCTGTCAACTTACACAGCTGTTTTGCCACAGATGGAAAGAACTGATTGAGAGGATATTTAGTTAAAAAAAGCTTCTAACCTAAGATCAAAACGGTACCAGGAAGCCAGTACAACATCCAGCAGAACTCATGCAGACAAGATACAGCAGAGACATGTGGTCTGACCCCAAGAAGTCAGCAGTGTGAAACCACCCACGGGACCAGACAAGTCCATAACAGGCACGAGGACAGAGGCAGGGCCAGCCTTGGAATCATGGCAAATGCCAGAACCCACAATAATGGGGCCAGCACTGAAGATACAGCTTCCTATGGGAATGCACCTGTGCTTAAGACAGCTGTACCCTGATACCTTTAGGTCCTTATGCCTGTCCTGCAGGTCAGTGGGGCTCTGACCAGCAAATACTTCACCTGCAGCACTGTATACAGCCCTCAGTCCTGCCAGCCTCGCTGCCTTTTTCTATGATTCCCATTTCACCCACTCCAGACATCTCCCACCTAATTTTTAAGAGCAGCTCCACTAGATTTAGCTATGGCATCGGAGACATCAGCAGGACTGTGAAGCTGTTGTTACTGCACAAGTTCATGCTCCTCCCTCCAGGTTAGTTCTACACCAGAGCAGCCAACTGGACCACCACAAACTAAACTGGTTTGGGTACCTGCACACCTTTTTCATGCAGAAAGCAGGCTAGGGATCCAGAAAGATCATGTAACTCAGCCCTCTGCCTTTATGTGAACACACTGTAACATACAATAACAAGAAGTAATTAAAACTTATACAATGATTGCACTCTCTCCTCTTCTTACCAAGCCACAGCAG